GATTCCCCCCCCTACCCACCCTCTTCTCCGACGAAGGCATGTATACACCACCACCGTGTTAGGCCAGGGCCATCCTGGGCCCCAGGATGGTGTATAGACCCTCCTGGCCTCGGCCAGGAGGGCGTATACACCATGCCAGGGCCAGGATGGCCCTGGCATGGCACGGAGGTGGTGTATAGATGCCTTCAGCGTATCTTCGCTCGATGTCGAAACGCCGAACAAGAGAATGCTCACGAGTGGAACCGGCCCCCCCCCCCGGGCGCCGACCACGGCGACCGTCAAAAACGACTCCGGACGATGAGCCGGTCCCGGGGAACGGGTCGGGACTTCCAGGGACGCCGTCCTGAAAAAATCAGGACGTCGCATGTCTGGGGTCTGCTTTTTGTCAGGGTGCCTTGGGTAGGGAGGCAACATCAAACCTGTAAAGCGTACCCACCCAAAGTGAGCCAGTAAACCGTACCCACGTGTGGAGTGTCGCCCGTTGATACATCATATGTCGAGCGACTGATTGCTTACCTGCGTTTCATCATCTTTGTGGGTAGACGGGAGCTCTAGTTGTCCATCCATCTGGCTTTTCGTTGGGGGGTGGTGGGCTTCCCCTTCCTTTTGAAGAGAAGCGGCTGACAGAGGGCGGAAGTCGGACATCCTACAACACTATCGCTCGACAGCTCCTATCGACACTCTTGGAATCCAGCCATGGCTTGGACGCTAGCTGTGTGCCCACGTATCCATATCGCGCGCGGCTGTGAGTGCAACGCGTACCTTCTTTTTCATCCTCTCTCCGTCTCTGCATCCCTCCACCCTTCAGTCCCTCCCTCCCTCCCTCCGTCAGCCCTCCCTCCTTCCCCCTTCCCCTCGCTTCTTTCTCATCCCCCGCCCCTCTCTCCTCACTCGCCCGGGAGACTCGCCCCTCTTTCTCCTGTCTCCTCCCTCCCTCCTTCTTCCTTCCTCCTTCCTCCTTCCGCACTCCCTGTTCCCCCCTCCTCTCTCCTTGCCTCATTCTGTTCTCACTGATATCCCTCTCCTCCCGTCCCTCTCCCCCTTCCGTTCCCTTCGCCATTTCTCCCTCTTCCTCGTCCCCTCTGCCGTCTTCCCTCCGTCCTTCCAGAGTCCGGCTCCGCCCCTCACCCCCCCCCATCCTTCGTCCCTGGGTGTCTGGGGCTGTGAATCTGGAGCTGCTTCGGGGGCCCGCGTCCTGGCATGCTCAGGGGGCTCGGGGTCCTCCTCGGGGTCCGTGTGACCTGGAGGCAGGGCCCCTGCGGAAGGGGGCCTGAATTCCCCTCCGTGCGGAACAGTGTTCCGCGCTCGACGGAACACTGTTCCGCGCTCGACGGAACACTGTTCCGGGGCGCTTGTGTTGGAGGCCAGACAGGCCAGGAAAGCGTACCCACGACCCTGGGCAGCGAGCAAACCAGTAAAGCGTACCCAGGGGACGCTATTTCTTTGGGCGGGGAACAGACCAGTAAAGCGTACCCACTCGGGCCTCGGCTCGCTGAAAGGACAGTTACAGGGATCCCGCCCCCCATGGGCGGCGATCAAGCCAGGAAATCGTACCCACCCCAGTCTGGGCGGGGAACAGACCAGGAAAGCGTACCCACCAGGGTCTGGGCGGCGAACAGACCAGTAAAGCGTACCCCCCAAACCAGCCGGCGGGCAAGTATTCCGCGAGTCCAGGAACACTGTTCCGTGACTCGCGGGGACGGGGTCCGCGGCGCGGGAGGGGCTCTGGGACGTGGCCCCAGGGAAGCAGGCACTCGCCTGGAACCCTGTGGGGTTCTCTTCCACCGAAGCAACGGCCCTCGGGCTCCAGGGGACGAACCTGTGGGAGGGGCGAGGAGGCCTTCAGGAATCCCCCGAAGGCGCCGTAGGAGACCGCAGAGCCACCAGGTCGGCCCAAGACCCGATGGCATTGCTTTTGTCTTGGGGCTCCAGGACCAGGTGCGGCCCACGACCGCGTCGTGGGGGCCGAAAACCAACTCTGCCCCCGAGCTGTCTTCGAGACCCAAGGTGCTCGACGAAACTGGCGTGGAGCGCGTGCTGACGGACGAGGGCGCCGCCAAGGCTGGCAGGCACATGCGGATCGGTTCAGCATCGTTGTGAAGACGTCGAAGAATAATATAATAGATTGGGTCGCTTCCCAATGTGCTTGGTGTCAGCCGCTGGTGCATTGAGCAAAAATGGCCCCTCCGCGCGCGTGTTTGCCCCTTTGCGCGTTGGGGTTGCGCGGGTGTCGGAAAACGTCAACAGAAGTGCACGTGTGCTTGCGCAGTGTAATATTTCCGAGTGAAACTCACACGCGTGTTCTAGCGTTTACAAGTTTGCACGCGCGCTGCAAAGAATATGTGCCGCGTGTTTCGGTGGCCCCTGGGGCCGCGCCACGGGGTTGAGCGAATTGACATAGCCCCCCTGCGTGACTGGCGACCGTGCGTGAGTAGGTCCATGAAACAGTACGCACAGAATACTGCGCGGAATAGCATTCCAAAAAAAATGCGGAACACCTTCCCGAACTGTGGAAGGTGGGTACGCTTTGCGGTTGGTACGCTTTACAGGTCCCTTGCCCCCGCCCAATTGGGTTTCTTCGCTCCTCGCGCTGCGCGGTTGCTTTCCGCGGCCGCTGAAGCAGCCGTTGCGTTCGATGGCGCCCTGGGCTTCCCCCGAGTCGCACCTCTCGCGCGGGTCTTCAGGGCTGGATTTCTTGCGAGGGTTTCTTGCGGCCGCGCCCGCACTGTAGGGGGGGATGCATCGATCCCCAATCGCTCATTGATCGCCGATAGGGGCCCGACAGCCCCAACCTGCTCATGAACGTGCGGATTCACTATCTGGGACCTATCGCTAATCTATCGGCGATGTATCGCGGATTCCAGGTCGATGTGTCCCCCCTACGCCACTCCCCCTACCAACGACTGCGCGTTAGAATGACCCTTCGCAGGAGTGACCTTTGGTGGCTCATTGGGGTCCCCCGATCGCCGAGCGCGATTTGGTAGTCGCATCTTGCGCGCTTGTGTTTGGTCCCCCCCGCGGCCCGTCCAAAGCTGCGCACCACAGGTCACTCTTACCCATGGCCACTCTTGCGTGTACAGTCACGCCGCACAGTGAGGATGGGCAGTTTTCCCAAGGGTACCCTTGCATCCTCGCCTCCTCGGCCCATCCATGACCGCTTTCGTTGGCCGCGCCCCGCTGGAGGAGCTTCGTAACGGCCTTCGAAGAGCTTCGAAACGGCCTTCCAGGGCCCTTGCATCCCTACTCTGGGCTTCTAAATCTGCGTGGGGGGGTACCCCCCCGACGGGGGTCCAGCTCGCCTCGTCGTCGCGCCGCCACGAGGGTCGGAGCGCCCCAGGCGCGCAGCGGCTGCCCGCGACGGGGGTCGATGTGGGGTTGTCGGCGGGGGTGACGCCCCCCCCCACCCCCACCGACGCTCACTGCCCAGACATGCGACGTCCCCGACTTTTTCAGGACGGCGTCCCTGGAAGCCCCGACCCGTTCCCTGGGACCGGTTCTGCGTCCTGAGTCTTTTTGTCGACGGCCCCGAGGCCCGGCGAGGGCCCCCCGGGGCCGAAGATAACCCAACACCTCCCGTCCTGATTTTTTTTTACCACGCGATCATGCCTGGGTAATAAGCTCGGAGTATCGTGCGTCCTCATGATGCGGGTCGACTGCAGCCGACATCGCTGCCCCTCACCGGGGCCGTCCGCCCTTGTCGGGCCGAGCGAAAGAGGGGGATAGGGAAAGGGGGGGTCACGAAATCTGCTGCGTGCAGCTGGTTTCAGCCGCGCCAACGGGCCCATTCCTCGATACATGGGCGCCTCCCGGCGCCGGGAGGCGCCGGGAACATCGGTATACTTGAGCTGACTCTCAACCCCCCCCCCTTTCCTATCCCCCCTGTCGCCCTGGGGCCCTGGGGGCCCCGCTCGCCGGGCGGGCGCCCGCCAGGGCCCCCCTCCGCGACCCGGGCGGGCAGGGCCCGCCCGCCGGCGGCGCGCGCCGCCCCCCCCCCCCGGGGGGCGGCCGGCGCGAAGTTGTTTTCGCCGGCTTCGCGCGGCGGGGCCCAGAGGAGGGAAAGGTGCCGATACCGCTGCCCCTGGAGGAGGAGGGGGAGGAGGAGGAGGAGGAGGAGGAGGAGGAGGGGGAGGGGAGGAGGAGGAGGAGGAGGAGGAGGAACCCAGCGCGCGAGGGTCCCTCGTGTTCCCGTCTTTGGGCCTCCTTCGGCGGCGAGAGGGGGGTGGGGAAGTGAGAAGAAGAAGAAGGCCTTCTCAGAAGTCGGTGGGACTTCTCGGAAGCCCTCGCGCCTTCTGAGAAGTCAATTGTATCTTCGGGGAAGTCTGCGGAAACTCTTCAGAAGACCCGGTGCATTCCGAGCTTTCTGAGGAGGCACTCTTCTTCTCACTTCCCCCCCTCGCTTGCCGCCGACTCCTGGGAGGCCCCCTTGTCGCCGCCGCCGTGTTCGCCTCGCGATCCTGGCCAGAACGCGCCCCGGGAGAGAGGTCCGAGGAGCAGTGGTACTGGCACGTCCTGCTTCTCCCAGGGGCCGTCCCCCCGAGGGGTGCCCGCCCGGAGCGAGCACCTCTCTCTCCGGGCGGGGCCCGCGCGCCGCAGAGGCCCCCCCCCGCGCGCCGCACGGCGACGGGGGCCGCCTCCCCGAGGGGTGCCCGCGTGGAAAGAGCGCCCGCGCTGCCTCGGGAGGGGGACCTCGGCGGCGGCGGCGGCCGCCGCCGCCTCGGGAGGGGAGCAGCGTGCGGAGGAGGGCGCGTGCAGGCAAGGGTTGCCTGTCTGGCCTTCCAGGGGAGTCCAGGGGAGTCCAGAGTGCGGAGGAGGAGGGCGCGTGGAGGCAAGGGTTGCCTGTCTGGCCTTCCAGGGGAGTCCCGGCCGTCGCAGGGAAGCGTTTTGGAGCGGATCTGGGCCGCCCGTGCTGCACCGCCGTGCTCTCACGAGGCTCTCCTCCGAAGGGCAGCGGCGGCACGCCGCTGTGGGGAGTCTCCTCTTTCTGGGAGGGCGCTTGCCAGGCTGCTACGCGACGGCACGCCCAGCAACCTCGTGCTTCCCCACCTGCTGTGCTCGGAGCTGCAGTGAAGAGAGACGGCACACGACATGCCCGCAGGCCTGGTGCGTGTGCCACAGCAGCACGCCGATATAACTACGCCGATGGGTCCCCCACGGCGGCGTGCCCTGGATGCTGCGCTGCCCTCCCCCCCCCGCCGTCGCCTCCCTCGCCGTCGCGGCGGTCGCTGCCGCTGCGCTGCCGTCGTCGTTGCCGTCGTCGTCGTCGTCGTCGTCGTCGTCGTCGTCGTCGTCGTCGTCGCCGTCGTCGTCGTTGTCGTCGTCGTCGTCGTCGCCGTCGCCGCACTGGTGCAGAGGCCCCCAGGGCTGTCGCGCGGGAGCGCTCGCGCCTCCCGCCACGGGCGTCCGGCGGGTCGAGAGAGTCGCCACGGCGTCTTCCTCGCCACTCGGGGCCCCGCTTCGCCGCCACGGCCGGATGCGGCTCGAAGGACTGGCAAGGATGGTCTCCGGGAGTGGTCAGAGGGCCGATGTTGAGCGTATTTTGCAAGAGCTCCCTCGAAGGCGCGAAGTCATTCGCGCTTCGCGCTTCGCGAATCGGCTCCGATGCCTCCTCATCCAAGCTCGTTGTTGAGCAGTTGCGCTCTGAACGTGTGTAGTTGCTGTGCTTGTTGCGGTGCCAGTCTCGGTGGCCCTTGTCTCTGTGGAGGTTGCGGTGGCTGGCTTTCGGGAGCGTTGTCGTCAGTGTGCTCCGCTGCAAAAAAAGCAATGCAAGCTGCCATTCGCCGTTCCACGTCCACCAGGTGGCATTGTTAGCTGTGTACGCATACGGCTGCTTTCCAAATGTTTGGCGGCCGCTTCTGCGGCGCTTTTCCTCCCTTGCTAGATTCAGTTTTCCCGTTGGTGTGGCTGGTTTTCCCACTGGGCTTACCTGCCTGGTAGCCTGGCGTAGGCGAGGTCTTGTTCTGTTGCTGTAGGATTCGCCTTTTCCTGGGCCTCCTTTTCCTCTGCCTGGAACTGCGCTCCGATCAGGAGCACCGTGGCCTTTTCCGTTCGAAGCTTCGTTTGCTTTGCCTTGTGGCGGGTGTGCTCGTAGGCGTTGTGAAATCCAGGAAACATCAGCCCGAGATACGTCCTCTTCGGCCCACTCGGGGCCGTTAGTGGCCCGCTCGTCTGCTGTGAAGCTAGCGGGTTCTGAGGACTTGGCAAAGGCTTCGCCGAGAAATGTATGAACAGCTTGCTTTCTGGTTTGCAGCAACACATTAGAATCGATATCCGACCGAGTACCAAGCTGTTGCTGCGAGAGCTCTGCTTTAATTGTTGAGAACGGGAGCCTTCACCACATGCTTATCGCGAGCTGATCTTGTTCAAACTCATTGATCAATATCATGGGTTCGTCCACGTACTGTTCGATCTTCAAAATTCCCTCTCTGGAACTGCAGCCATCTAGCAAACTGGATAATTTTCGCAATCTCGTTCTTGGTGCGGTTTTGTTTCTGCATCATATCGATCAAATAGCCATCTACGAATGTATCTTTAGCACCCGCCTAGTCTCTCGGATTGGATGACAAACGTGCCACATCCAGTAACCAGGCCTGGTTTCGGAAGGTGGCGTCGGTGGACAACAACACGAACCTTTATATGATGACCAAGCTGTTCTTGCTTAGTTCGCTACTGGGCTTCCAGGCGTCTAGGTCTTCTTCGTACGAGCTTCATGATTGTTGCGGTCCGGCGATGGGGCAGGCCTTCACCCCCTTGCCGTCGAACGAAGACGAAGTCATCAGCTGTCGCACGGTCTGGTGCAGCAACCAGCTCCGCTACCAAGTTGAGGACGTCGCACACGAACTCTAAGAGGACGTTCCACGCAGGAAGGGCTTTCAGGGGAACCGGCCAGACGGCCCCAGTGCGCTCGGATCCCGCGCGCTCCCTTTCCGGCGGCGCGCCTCGAGGGCCTTGCGTGCGCCAAAGCGGCAGCGGCAGGCAAGCAGCGCAAAGAGGAGAGAAGAAACACAGGGATGTGAAGGCAACAGTGCCAAAATGGATGGGGATCGACAGTCATGGGGGCCCTCTCAGGGGCCTTGGGCAAGTGTTGGATGGGTTGGCTTCCAGCAGCGCGGCGCTAGCGCGCCTCTCGGGCCAGCCTCAGAACGTTTTCGGAGGCCTCTTGGACCCCTCACGGGGGCGTCTTGGGTTTTCGGCTTGGGAGTTTTTGGGGTCTTCGTGGATGCTCTTGCGACCGATGTGGCGAGAATGTTTGAGTCTAGCCAATACCTCAGGAATTCAGCTGATTTTGACTTCTTGGAACGGCCCCGAGTATCTCCAAGACGGCCCACGGGACACCTAACAACGCCGAAGTTGGCCGAGCAAGGCCCCGAGAGGGTTCTAGCGGGTCACCGCGGGTCTGTCGGGCCCAAGGCTGGCCAAACTGGCCCCAACATCGCCCAAGTCGCTCCAGGGAGGGCGGGGGGTGGATCGGGGGTTCCTGGACTGCCCCGCGAGTCCTCGGGACCCCTCCTGGCGCCGCTGTCGTCGCCGTCGTCGTCGTCGTCCACTGTTGCAAAGCCCCCCCAGGCAGCGCGGCAACGGTTCAGCCGGACACCGGGCGCGGCGGCCAGGAGGCGGCCTCTGCGCGGAGATCCCTTTTGCCGTCGCCGCGCCGCCTCCATTGTCGCCGCGTCGTCTCCGCAGTCGGCGCCGCCGCCGTCGTCGCAGCCCCTGCCGCGCCGTCGTCGCCGCCCGCCGCCGTCGCCGCCGCGTCCGCCACGGCCATGCCGTCTTGGTCCTCGCCGTCGCAGGCGGAGATCTTGCCGTCGCCGCCGTCGCCTGTCGTCCGCCGTTTGCTCCTCTGCCGTCCGCCGTCCGCCGCCGTCGCCGTCGCCGTCGCTGGGAGGTGGACGGCGCCCTGGCGAGGCTGCGCTGCCTCGCCGAGGGCCTCCGGAGGCCAGGCTGCGGCGGCGCCGCGGGCTGACGCCGGCCGCCCCCTCCCCCCCCGCGGCCTCACGCGGAGCTCCGCGACGGCCAGATGGCGCTGCGTGGCCCTGGACTTCGGGCGGGCTCCTTCGTTAGCTTTTGCTCATTATCTTATACCCGGGGCCCGCCCTGGAGCCCAGAGTGGATCCCGGACGGAGGGCCGTCTCCTGGGGGAGATGTCGGGGCCTCGTGTAGAGGCCTCCTAGATGGGGTCCGAGTCGATGGGGTCGGCGGATCGCGTCGCATCGCTGATGCATCACCGATGCATCGGCGATACATCGGCGACGACAGCGATGTATCAGCCACGTCGGCGTTGGTAAAATCGGGCTCCACATCGAACCGCATCGCCGATGCGTCAACGATGCATCGGCGATGCGGCGCGACCCTCCGACCCCATCTGGGAGGTCTGTACCCCGGGGCCATCTGGGAGGTCTGTACCCAGGGGCCCGCGAGGCGAGCCAGGGGCAGTCCCTCGGAAGTCTGGGGTGGCGCCATGAGCCCGTGCCCCGTGCGCGCCCGCGCGCCCCCGCGGCGCTTCGCCGCGCCAGTGGCCCGCCGGCGGGCCGCGTTTCGGAAGGAGCCGCTGGCCCGGGGCGGTGCGGTGCGCACGCAAGCCCAGGGAGCACCTCGCCGGCCTCGGCGATCCCCGCGCAGATGCCCTCTTCTCCGAGGCGGAGATGTGTTCATATAGTGAAGACCCATGCCAAGAAACACCCTGGTTGCCTCCAGGGTGCCCCAGGTTTCTTGGGTTTCGATTGTTTTGCGATGGAAATCGTGACGTTCTCATACCGAAAATAAATGGACGTCCTGGGGTCTCAGGGTTGGGTTTCTTGTGGACGGTTTCTTGTGGTCGGGCCCCTCCTGTAACCACCGCCTGGAGGATCGATCGTCGCGGACATCCACAGGCGGTGGATATGGAGTTATTCGGGCCCCGGGGGGCCAGAATAGGTCCACATCCACCGCCCGCCGGGGCACCATGGCGTCGGTTCCCAGGCGTTGGATGTGGATAAATCCCCGCCTCGCACTTTCGCACGTGCCAGCCATGCTCGACGGGGCATCGGAGCGAATTCGCTCGGGCCACCCGTGCCCCTGCCCTGGAGGTGGCCGGCCGGAAGCCGTGTGGAGGCTCAGCAGGAGATCGGGCCCAGATCGGGCTTGCCAACGGCCTCCCGAACGGTAGTTTCTCCTACCTTTCCTCACCCCCTTTCCGTCTCTTCGCCCCCTCCCCCCCCCCTTTCCGTCTCTTTTGGCTGCCCCCCTGGCCACCCCCCGCGGTCGTCCAGCGCCTCATTCTTGCGTTCGGTCGGCCTGCGCGCCGCGCCGGGGCCAGGGGCATATGGCTTGGGAGGGGAAGAGGAGGGCGGCCACGCGCTTGGGAGGGGAAGAGGGGAAGAGGGGAAGAGGGGCATACGACTTGGGAGGGGAAGAGGGGAAGAGGGGAAGAGGGGGAGGCGGGAGGAGGCTTCACGCGCAGAGGATCGTCGCCACGAGGAGTGCGCGGGCGGCCTCGGGCACCCGAGACCCCCGGTGCCACCCGCCCGAGCTGCTGACGGGGGGTGCAGCGCCGTGGTCCACCAGAGGCAAGCCGTCAGCAGGCAGAATTCCGTTGCTGAGCCAGGAGCGTCGGCAGTCGTCCAGAGGCGTGGGGTCCGGCGTTCCAGAGGCGGCTGGGGGTCCTGTGCGCCGGCACCAGAGCTGGCGCAACACAGGCGCGGCCTCGAAGTGCCGCCCTCCCCCCCTCCAGGGCCCATTTCGATCCGACCGCTTCGATTCGATGCCATTTCTGGCCTGCCCGATCCGGGTCGAATCCGATACTCAGGCGATCCGATGCGGCCCGGTGCATGCATAGTGCAGATGTGCATCCGTTCAGTATCGCTGAACTGGCTCCTCTCCCCATCCTCACACTTCTCCAGACACCCACCATCTCCCCCCCCCGTTGGGGATAGACCTTTCGAAACCCGAAGGAACCGGCCTATGAACTAAACTAAGGGGGTAAATCGGCGAGTGGGGCCGAGGCCACGTCAGTGGGCATAGCGATCGGTTAAACGATGCGCATCCCTGGCGGGACCGGCTCGACTCGATCTTGACCCCTTGCCGATGCGGCGCGATTCGATGCGTGTGCTGGCTCCAGATTTCCGGCGTTCTGTTTTTTCGCCACGTGGGCCCCCCAAGGGTCTGGACCCCTTCCCTGGGACCGGCGAGCAGTTTTTCTATTCCTTTGTCCTGGGACTTAGTGGGGCCCCCCAGAGGCTGAAAACTTGGGGACAGGAAGGGCACCTCCCCCCCCCCC